CCCCAAAACCCCAAAACCCCAAAACCCCATGGGCCAGAATAGGTCATATTAGATAATTTAAAGTAATTAAAATTGATGAATATTGTTGATTATAGATGCATTAAACGCTTTTGTTTCACATTCTTATCATTTGAAGCTCTTGCTCAAAGTCTCAAAATTTGAGTGGAAGCTATCATTGCTCCCCTTATTTTTTGTTAAGAACTTCTGATTATTTGATTTTGCAGGTTTAACGACTCTTGCGCTGTTTAGTCCGCTTTAACCTGTAAAATTAATCTCTGCACCATTAACTCTTTACCTCTCCGTAGTCATTCCCATGTAAGTTTAGAACTCGCTTTTCTTAGGCTATTCCATTAGTAGCCTATCATAGTCGATATTTTCAACGTGAATTTTCTTATCCACAGATTAGTCCAAAGTTGAATGCTTCAATTGACTATTCACCCTTAGTGAAAGATGATTGCTCGTACTTTAATTAATCAAAGATGAATTTACTTTCTTGACATTTGGCTTCACAGTATTATTACTTTTATTTCTAGAATTGGCTGTCTATTTGCTATTATTTTAGAGATATTATGCTGCTTACTTTTAGAAGGTTGCAACCATTGTGAAAGGTGATGCCTCATTTTATCTGAAATTAGGAATAGGAGTTTTAGGCTTAGATTGTTATTTTTGATTTTAAGTAATTTGTCTAAATTACTTCAGAACAGGTGACTGATTTTAACTGTTATTGAATGAATTAATCTACACTTGATTTTACTGCACAGTAAGCTTATCAGGAGATGAATCAATATTTATTTGAGCACTCTACCTCTATTTTACTAATCTACTCGAAGAAAGCTTATCCTAAGAAATCTTCTGAGCAGGTTTCTTAGTACTTGAGTAGTTTGATTTATTTGAATAAAATTATTCTAAAATCTCTGAGTAACTACCCTAGTAGTTCTTTCTTTCATTTTGCTTCTTTGACTCAATACTACTTTACCTCGTTATGTTTGAATTCTATTGGTACTCTTATTGATACACTAGAGGTTCCAAATTCTGCTAATATGTTTATAGTTATGACTTAGCATTCGCTCTCTATAAATTGGCCTGCACTGAGCTTTTTACTAGGTCTTTTAGAAATTCTATTTCCTTCAGTAAGTTTTGTGTTTTGTCCTTATACTTGTCCTGCTCATCTTGAATGAAGTTTTTTAGTTCTTTATATCTTTGCTCTACTTTTTTATTTCTAAGTCTACTTTCTTCATACTTTTACATAAGAAGCTTCATCTTGTTCTGCATATCCTCATATTATTTTCTAAATTCCTTTTGCTATTCTTTGAGGTTGTCCAGTTCTAATCTATCTTGATTATGTTATGCTGCTAATTTACTATAGTTTCCAGAATTTTCCCTCTTTTTATAAAGTTTTTAAGCCAATTATTAATTATTCTCTTACAATCCTTTAACTTTGTCTTTTAACTTCTATGTTTTACTAGAGTAATCGACTAACTTATTTATCAATTAGTCTTTGTTTAAATTTTTGAATTTTTCATATTTCTCATTAAGTTTTGGTTGCTTAATTAAAGCTTAGTGATTCTTGGAAAATTTATCAACAAGCTTCTTTAAGATAGCGAAATCTGACTCTTAGTCGTTAAAATGCTCTTCTTATTCTTCAGGAAACTCATCTTGATCGTTTTCTCGACCTTCTGAACTGTGCCTTGAGTTTTCAATTTCAGAGGTATTTACTTCTTTCTCTACTATATTTTATTCTTTTACTTATTTTGGTTCATCTTAAAAGAAGCTGTTTAAATTTCTTAAAGAATCAGTTTTAGATAGTTTTCTTTAAAGCTATGGAACTTCCTCTATCTCCTCTGAGACATTTTTAGTGTTTTAATTAGAAGTGAAATTTATTCCAACTATCTCTTTTCGAGACAAAGTGTTCTCGAGTGGTACGGAATCCCCAAAACTTTCTCCTCTAAAGTGGCCTCTCTTTTTTACTTAATTCACAGATTCCTTATATTTCTAATCATCATATGTAGACAATTAACTCTGCTTCGCTAGATCAATATCCTCCTCTCCTTCACTATGAACAATAATGTTCATTAGATTTTATGATTTCCTCTTTATTTCAATTTATGTTTTTTCATTGTATTGGCCATCATAGTTATCATCTTGATTTTAATAAAAATTATCATCCTCTTCATCTTATTCTAACTCATCTTTATTGCTATATGCAGGTCTTTTTTGATTGGGCATTTATAAATTATTAGCATTGGAACTGCCGATGAAGCTTTATGGTGATGCACTTCTAATATCCAAATATTAATTATTATTCAAATTTTATGACTTTGAATAGCCTATATTTTATTGCTCTTAACTATTGCTGTTTAACTTATCACCTAAATACTGAAAAGTTCGCTCTTATTGATTTAAAGACCCTCCAAAATATGAAATCTCATTGAGTCCTTTGATCTCTTAATCATGAGTTTTTCTTAGCGAAATCTCTGAATCAGTATTCAAATCAAATAGATTATATTGCACAGTTTTTATATCATTATTAATACTATCGCTATTATGGCTGCTTTCAAAGTTTTCATTATAAAAATTATTCACTATGTTCGTTATTTTTTGAGTTTTGCAAAAATCATCATTTATGTAGCTGAAATTTGAATGGGATAATTCATCTCTCATCTATAGTACAGTTATTATTTCTTCATTTTCACTGTCCCTTCCTTGATCATAAGACTATCTAACTGATACTTCATTTGGCTTTTGAAGATGTATAGAATCATTCGGGGACTTTCTAGAATAGTATATTACTGGATCATCCTAGTAATCCTCATTTTCTAAGTCAATCTGTGATTATTTGCTTTTAAACATTACTCTTAGAGTTAAATAATAATTAGATTCATAAATTTAATAGTTATTTATATTTTCTAAATAGAAAAGTTCCTTGCAAAGCTTCAATTATAAGCATCTTGGGGTTTTGGGGTTTTGGGGTTTTGGGG